CCGATGCGAAACGAGGTGGGATGGGGTGAGCATTCACTCAGCCCCCCTCCACCTACACTACGCTCCCCAGGAGGGAAAGAGCAGCGGGGCTGCAGCTGAGCACGCCTTGCCCCGGAGGAACCATCCGGTTCGCCCCGAGGGTCGGCGATAAGAGGAAAAACACAAGATGGCGTTGTCCAGCGTGTAGTGACCTGTCACTGGGAAATGTTCCACGACGCTTACCTTGGAATAAGACTGCTGTCATCTTCTCCTCGGGGAGGAGAACTCACCGGACGACCGGAGGTCGACTGCCGGGCCAAGCATCTTTCGCAAAGGTTGGTCATTTACACAATTTATCTTCTTTGTTCTTCTGACAGTGCTATATTAGCTCGCTGAAGAAAAAATGGGAGCCGATTTCCCGCTCTTAACGTAATTTATACGGACCGGGTGGGGCCCACACAGCAGGTGGGCGTGGACTAATTTTTTTCAGTGCTTATGCTCTGCATAACGGGATAAACCCATCAGCGACAGCCTTAAAGGGCGAAGCCTATATGAAATAGAACATCAGGATTCTAAATATATTCATTATTAAAATGTAATGAAAAGCTTTACAACTGTAAATTATTAGAAAACAAGTCTTACGAGGACTCTTAGGAAAAGGTATGCACATCTTTGTAGCTCAAAGTCACGTTCCCGCCAGTTTATATGAGCATCCTACAACATTCTTGCATATATTTGAAGGAATGTCCATCAATTATATTTACCAGCTTATATGAAATAAAAGCAAAAATAATCTACTTCACTTGTTTGTTTTTCACAACACGTTATTTGTTTTCCAACCAAAAATAGAGGTTTAACATCACGACGACTGAGAATTTATTGTAATTGTTGTTAGTGCAGAAAAACCTTTGACTGCAGCCCGACTTGCTGACCCTTTTTGACGGCGTACTCATAGTTTTTTTATTTCACTGTACAATAGTGCTGCAATTTTAATTTCCCTGAAGGAATCTTCCCCAAGGGATCAATAAAGTTCTTTGTAATCTAATCATATTAGATTTTGGGAATCATTTCCATTTCGGTGCATGTAATCACGCTCTTTCAAGCGCAGCATTTCTGAAGAACTGTACGAGCCGAGTGCGCTAGAAACGTACCTGTTTCATTTTCTCTAAATCCGAGTCCTCAGATCCATCACTGTTAATACCTGGACCCTTTGCCCTGTGAGAGTACGAGACACACACATAAATACAAAAAATGTCACGTCAGTGTGCAACAACAAGAAAAGCTCCATCGTGTTAATGAAGTTAAGGAATTAAGGAACAGTGAACAGAAAAAGAAAAAAAAAAAAAAGAAAAAGATAAAGGTGCAGATCAAAAACTCATATGAGTGCCATTTAGAAATATTGTTTTATTTACCAGCAGTTTTTACTGCTTGTCTTTCATAATAGCTGTGTATAAACTAGCTGAGTTCAGAATGAGGTTCAGCAGAAAAATAAGAATGAATCACAGCAAGACTCCATCTTGGAACAAACATCCTGATAAAACATGTCCCTTGGGTCCACATGCACGTCACCCTCTATCCCATTAGATGGAGCTATCAGATGTCAGTTTTGCTACTATAAGACATAGGTTGTGGCAACGCTGAGCTGGTGGAGGATAACAGAACAGCACAAGAAGCTGCGGTCACAGAGAAGTTGGACAGCAGTCTGTATACCTTAACACTTGGGACAATGAGGGAGTGCTGTCCATGCTCTTGGGGATGGAGTTATTCCTGTTAGTAAAACACACACACTCTCCATTTAGAATGAAACTAAACAATGTTCCCACAAAAGCACGTTGTCCTCAGGTGAAGAGAGACTTGGGTGCGACAACATCAAAATTACAAAACGCACACCATGATGGAGAACTAGTGAGGTGAGTTCAAACACAAGACACCTGTCGGTTACAGATTTACTGATGGAGGCAGCACAAATACACACAAGTCAAATGTTACCTGACCATGGAGCCTTTCTCCCAAGGTTTTCTTAGCGTATCTAAGAGTTGAATATATAAAAACATGAGCGACTCATTTTACATTTAAAGAGATATATTCAGTATCAGGAAGAACGTGGGCGTGATGCAAACAAAACGGCTCAGTTCTCACCACTTTGAGACTCTGAATCATCCTGTGCAGAAGAAAAAAAAAAACAACTATAAAAACAGACTCACTCTCAGCCATTTCTATTCTTTAAACTTTTAACTGTCTGCTAAATAAATTCATTGCCTCTTTTATTTCAACTGCATAGAGTTACTTAAAAATAATGCAACCCAAAAAGCAGACACCTACGTTCTCTTGCGTCTTAACGGGTGCCTTCTCGCCACTGTTTGCAGCTTTTCTCCTGGTGGGTAAAAATTACTTCATGATATCAAGATGAAGAATTTAAGGCTTTGAAACAATTAAGAATAACCAGTAAGCGTCATAATTCCATTAAGAGAGAGGCTGGAGCATAATTAAAGATTGTAACTGGGTATGTGACTGCAAGCTTTACCCACCTTCGCGCCAAGATGGCACTCATCTCCCCCATTAACCCTCCTCCTCCCCCTCCACCGATAGACGAGTTGCTGCTGCGACAGGGGTCGTTTCTGGCCACTGGAGGTGCAGGGGCTGGATCCTCCTGCTGTGAGCAACAACCGGTGAATACATGGAGGGTAATATCATACAAGAGTCCTAAAAGTGTATGCAGCTGCAACTGTATCAATGCAACAATAAAACATCAACGATAAAATTAGAAAATCACTCAACAGAATCAGTTATTGGACAGCAAACATTTTGACTTGTGACAGCAGAGTTAGCATATGGCTACAGAACATTTAGGTCAGGCAACTCAGAGATTCACATGTTGTGATCAACAGTTGCCTCTGAATCAGAATAAGAATAAGATTTATTATCATTGTACCGGGATACAGTGAGATTATGTTTGTAGTCGTCCAAAAGATAGGCGGAGTGCACATTGCTGCTGCTATAATAGCACGTCTCCTTATTCTTTATCAGAATACTTTTAGATAGAAAAAGGGAGCCATGAGGGTGGATAGTGGTACTACAAAAAGATCTCTTCACATCTTGTCCTATCAGGACATGATTTGAGACATCAAAAACTCTACCAGCACATTTATAAACACATTACATATGGATTTGACATCAAGACGTTGAGATTTGTCCATGAAGCACTTCCAGATAGGCCACAGTCCTGGTGTTGTTGTTCAGCTAGCAGTTCTGATAAGCCTACACAGAAGTTCTCAGAAGGGTGGGGGTTGCGATATACAAAGCTTTTTCCCTAGTACCCATGTTCCAGGAGGAATTTGATAGTCGGCTCGTATCCGAGGCCAAACGGGGGAGTCAGACTCAGATGAGCCACAATTGTTGATTTTCTTCAGGCAGACTGTTTTTTTCTTGTCAGCCTTGAGTTCTGCTGGAACTTTCCCAATCCAAAATGGCCATATGTATGGGTATTTCACTGATCTGTGTTAAGAGCCTTTCTCAAGGTCGATCCCAACATACTGGCGAGTCCTAGGAGCCGCAGGTGGCCTGTGATTCTCACAAATCGCCTCCATCTTATGGTTTAGCTTGTAAATCAGTTGATTTTGAGTCCTCATAGCATGAATCAAACCTTCGCACTGACTCGGAAGCTTTGCCATGGCCGAAACTGCTGCCGATGTCTTCTTCAAAAGTTGATAAAACACATCCTCACCGATGCCAAAGTAGGTGTCGAATAGACTAGTCGACTAGTTGCTTCTAGGGCATCTCGCGAGTTTTAAAATTTCACGTCGCCTAGTTGCAGTCGGTGGGTGTGCCACGTGATCAACTGGGCTGCTGGCTACAAAACGGATTCTTCCAAGCAGATGGAAGCAGGCAAAGTCTTCCCAAACGGGTAGAAATTCATCAACAGTGTGGAAGTATTTCTCTAAAGATGATGTTGTAACTAGTTTTATTTTATTTAATCCACTAAAAAAAAAACAAAAAAAAACAGGGGTGCGCTCCATCAGCGAATCCACCACTGCGCACCCCACCGTGTGTGTATTAGTTGCTGTACACAGCGCCGGTGTGCACCACCGCCGGTGGATAGTTTTTATTTTTATTTAATCCACTAAATAAAATAAAAACAGGGGTGCGCACCACCAGAGAATCCACCACTGCCGCGGTGGTTTATTTTATTTAGTGGATTAAATAAAATAAAACTAACTTTTGAAACTTAATAATAGTTTTGGTTTTCCTGTTACTTATTTGCAGTATGATAAATGGTAGGTGCATAAATATACACTCCCAATGTTTTGTTGTCATTTTTTTTTTGTTAATAATAAATGACGATTACGGTATTTTTTATTTTTTTCTGCGTCTTGTTCTTATGACATCATTAACTAGTCAACGTCGACTAGAATATTATCATGTTAATGTCGACTTTAAAAAAAAGTAGTTGTTCAACCCCTATGCCAAAGATAAAAAAAACGCTATCATAAATCCAAAATTAAAATGTCTTCGGCGTCCTCCTGAGACAGAACTGAGAGACACAGCAGCTGCCAAACTCCCGACGGATCTCAGATGCACCCTGCAGCGTGAGTCTCAGCCGGACAAGAGGGTTCTCCAGGACCCTGTCGTTTTGTTGAAAAGATTTTGTCGATTGTGTTGGAAGTCCAGCTCACCAGATCAATAATGGTATTTTTCATTCAGGAGATGTATACCAGGAGCTCCAAGACATACAGAGAACAAAAGCAGGAGGAAGAGGAGAACAGGGGGAGGGAGAGCAGAGTGAGGCATCCATCTTGAGCGAGAGCCAGAGGAGAAAGTCTGCCGTGCAGAAGAAAAAACAAGCACTTTTAGAAAAGTTGCCAAAAACTTACCTTGGACACCTTTCGCAGTTTAGCCCCCGCCAGGGCAGCTGCCAAGCCCCCAGCTCCTCCTCCACCACCATCACCACCAATGCCATCTCCTCCTCCACTTGGAATTGGCAGAGGTGGGGCTGGAGGGGGTCCTGCGGAAGGAGGTCCTGCAGGAGGAGGTCCTGGAGGAGGAGGGATGACGGCAGCTGGAGGAGGGCATGGGGGTGGTGGAGGAGCTGGGGGAGCTGGGGGAGCTGGAGGTGGAGCAGGGGCTGCAGGGGCTGCAGGGACTGCAGGGGCCAGTGGTGGAGCTGCAGGAATATAGAATGAAGAGGAGAAAAGGGGCCATCACTAACCATTAAAAACTTCTCCGGGAGAAGTATCAACATTTATGTGGTGACAGTATGACAGAATACACTCTAGGTAGAAAATGAAATCAATAAAATAAAAGTGGTTGAACTCGAGGTTTGGTGAGACCACCAGTAATGTGTTATGTATTGTCATCATTCTATGTTCCCATACAATGGTGAATTTGTCTCTCTGCATTTAACCCATCCACCCCAGGTGGAGCGGCAGCTATTGAAAGCACCCGGGAAGCAATGGGGGATAGAGTGTCCTGCTCAGAGACACAAGATGTGCAATGACTGGGGATCGAACCTGGGACTTTATTGGAAACATGTCTCAAAGGTGGCATTTGGTAACTTCTGTGACTTGATCAAAACAATCGTTAGGAGTATTCTCCTTATATCTGGCTGCCCCTAACGTTATCCATAAACGGCGTCTCTCTCTCTCTCTCTCTCTTGAAGGAACCACCCGCCACAATAATCATGGCATGTAAAAAAATTAATAAATGTTAGTACATTTGTTCATGCATGCCAGTAATTCTGTGAGGCAGGGGAGAAATCACATTTCGGCTGCTTTAGTTCTTTGGATTAAAAATGAGCAAGTTTTGCCACCGTTCTTATCCTGTTTACCAAGGTCAGAGGGCCAAGTTTTATAAATCACAGTTCACAACTGCACAGGATTTCCCCTAGTGACTTACCATGGGAGGGTGCTCATTAAAGACTTGACATTAAAGACCACAAAGTCAAAGACTTCATGGGGTGGGTGGGTGTGGGTAGGCAGGGTGCCCTCCTTGAATGATATAGGGGTAATATTATGGTGAAATTTATAATGACATTAGTGTCATATAATGGCATTATAGTGACTAAAGCAAAATTTGAACGCTATAAAATATATGTTTTGTGACCAAGCCTTCAAATATAATGACATTAATTTTAGGTCATAAGACCCAGTCCTAACTTCTTTATTCTAGCTTTTGTCTTGTAGATGCTTGAAACACGACACACCAAGTAAAGACAAAAAAAAGCAACACAATTATAGCAGCAAAAGTTGATAGTCTTTTAGGTAGGGTCAGCAGGAATAATAAAATTCAACAAAAATAAAAAACACAAATATACACTTATTTTGAAGAAAAAGTGTAAGAGAGAGAAGGTTTAAAGAAATATGCTAAATAAGTTGCATTGCAGCATTAAAAATCAGTGTAGTGCAACCCAGTTCTGCACAATTACATAAAAACACAGACAAATCTGAAAGATGGAGTTTATTGTGGCTGAAGGCTGTTATGTTGAGCAGCTCAGGTGTTTCCTGACCTGCAACAGCTTGTCTTTCCTTCTCCAGCCTCTCTCTTTCCTGACGCTCCCACTCCTGCCTCTCTCGTTCTTGGCGTTCCCACTCCTGCCTCTCTCGCTCTTGGCGTTCGCGTTCCTGCTGTTCAAGCCTTTGCTGCTCCAACCTGTGAAAATATACGTCGGTTACATGTAAATAACTTCAAAACAAAAATCTATGGATTTCAAGTTGTTAAAAGTATTAAAGAAAAACTTCAGAGAAATTAATCTTATTACACGTGATTAGTTATATTTTATTGTGACAGACTTCCTGCCGTCTCTTGGTAACTTCCTGCTGCTGACTAACATTTTCATTTATCGGCTTTATCGTTTCTTCGTGTCTCCCTCTTTCTACTGAAGACACCGGATGACAAAAGGCTGAACTCCAGTGCTCTTCACTGACCCCTCCCTTTCTCTTTTCACTTTAAGATCCATTTAACCGTCCAAAATTGCATTTTTGGATCGTTAAAAGCAGCTAAGCTGAGAAGCTAAGCTACGAGCTAAGCTAACAGGCCGACCTCGGGGAAAAAACCTCAGTCTTGTCGAAGCTCCAAAATTCACGGTTGAAACCCGTGCCTTCATGTAAAAAGTTGTTTTTCTCTGCAAAAAGAAGCTGAGAACTTGTTTACTAATTTTTTTATTAAAAGCTTTGTGTGAAAAATGCTATGCTAAAGAGCTCAAACCACACTGAGCGCCTGCCATTTTGAGAACTGAAAAACAGGAAGGAGACGGTCCATGTCACGTCAAGGGGCCTCCCTCCTGTTCTTCTTAAAGAAACACGCTGTTCGCTCTCTCACTATCCATCCATCAGATCAAACAGTCTTATACTGCCATCCAGTGGTCAAAAAAGGTACCACACGCAAAACAAATTAACCAACATTTCTTCTTAAATTTGACAATAATTACTAATTATTGTCAAATTTCAAACAATATTATTGTTTATCACAATAATTTCCGAGACAATCGCCCAGCAAATGTTGTTATTGTGACAAGCCTGTGTACAATGACTCTTGCTCAGGGTTTCAAATTCCCTACCATAACTCCACCCGCTCTGTCGTCATGTGACCAGAAGTCTAATCTGAACGACCAATGAGGCATACCCTCGAGGATAGACGTGCATTAATTTCTTCAGATAGTTCCCGTGTCGTTCCCGTAGTTTGCGCTTCATGCACAGACCTGTTCATTTGTTCAGCGATAATGGAAAATGCACAGAGAATTTCTTACGATGCAGCCTTCAAGTTAAAAGCAATCCATCCGGCTGTCGAAGAAGAAAACAGCTGCGAGACAGAGGCGGTGTGTGATTACGTTTTTCTAAGCCTCGAAGAGAACTTTAGTTCACAGGAGGACGAAGAACATAGTGATGAGTGACGTAATGTGTGCATCCTTTCGTAAAAGCACAGGTCCACACAAACACACACACACAGACAATATTCCAGTGACTTGTTGCTTAGTAAAGATGTCCTACAAAGCATAAGAAAAGATCACGTTTTGACACCACATTTTGACAGCAGTAAACATACGTTCACTACTATCAATTAGAAAAAAGGTGTTATAAATATCAACATTTGCAACAGCGGTGGGGGTCAGAGGTTTTCGAAGCTCACTAAGCTTCCACTGCCAGCAGCAAACAGGACAGCTGCTAGTTTGACAGACAGCCCCTGAGCCCAATGAATTAACTTTTAAACTAAATGTGATAAAAAATAATACACCTACTCTCTGCAGATATGCATATGCATAGAGTGACCTCAATAGGTCTCTGAGGAATAGATGGACGAAAGGGAGGAGCTAAAGCAGAAGTGAGAGCCATGCTATCTGTATGACCTTTAACCCGAACGAGGGTTTAGCAGCGGCTGCTTAAAACCAACAAATCCTTCACATATGCTTGAGAACCAAACTGTGCCAACTGGACAACTTCAAATCCGAGACAGCTCGACTAAACCCAGAGGACAGTTTGCTCTGGCCTGAGCATAAAATCTGAAACTCATACAGTGTGAGGCAAAAACTACAAGCTGGTACAAGAAATGTCTCTTTTTCTAGAAAATAAATATTATTGTCACCAGCAAGGTGCATTACAGGCGTGACTAAGTCACACCAAAAACAGCCAACACAGCTAAAATCATTTTTACAATGAGCAAATGAGAGTGAAGCTTGAGTCAAGTTTAAAGGATGACGATACCTGCGCTGCTGTTCCTGCTCTTCTGGAGTAGGCCCATTGGACACTTGGCGAGGGAGAGTTGCATATCCTGCAAAAAACATGACAAAAAATATATTGATCTATAGGAAAATGTTTTTACAACATAAAATTGAAAGGTGCTGTGAATCAGACATTCAGCTTTATGCTACAATTCATCCGTCTCTACTTCAGAGCATCCATTTTAACCCTTACTGCAGATTATTTTGATAATATTTCTTAATTTTACAGGGAAGTAAATGCAGTGTCATAATGACTGGCTTTGTATCCTACCTAATAAATATACTCTGACAGATTAAATTTAATATTCAGTCAGGAAAATAAATAAATAAATAAAAATCAAGATTATTTTCCATCTTTAAGGCAACAGAACAAGATAGAGCTTCAATGTTTATTTGTATTTCTCAGACTACTCCTTAGTAGATTTTATGTTTATTCTTAAATCAGATGCACTTCCGGTGAAAAGCGATCTTCATGATTTTTTAACGTTGGGAGAAATTTAATTAGCTGATTATTTACTAATATGAAAAATCAGGAAGCATCTGCTGGTCTTAAGAGTCCAAAACAGGCAGGGGGAGACCTCGACATTTATTCAAGAGTACAGCATACGCCACATTATACGCCCATTGACAAACTATTATACAGCAAACTACGTATAAAAATGACCCGGACAAGCAATGACCTTGTATAACATTTGACCTTGATTTGTGACCTTGACCTTGAAGCTGGGGTGATAAAGACATGCCAAGTGGTGGTAGATGATCTTGGGCAGATCAGAAGTTATGGCCGGCCATGCAAACACCTCGATTTAACTTTGACCTTTATTTGTGAGCTTGACCTTGGAGCTTGGGCAATGAAAAGTGTACACGACACTCCATCTAGTGATAATGCATGTGTGTTTTAGATTTCATTAAATTACCGTAAGCAGATCAGAAGTTGTGGCTCGGACAAGAGAAAGTTTACGGATGTACGGACGGAGACTAAACTATAATACGGCTGTCTTTGGACAGGTGTATAAAGACTGACGTGTTTGTTTTGCACTCAGTTCACATCAACGATTTACAAGATTGTGAGTAAAGTGAATCAAAAGCTTTTTTTTAAAAATGTCTACTAAAATAAAAATAGATGGGTGTTCCTTTACGTTTGTCTTTTGTTAAAATAAAAACATACCGTAGTTTCATCTGGCATTTCTTGCCCGTCAATCTGCTGCAGAATAAAATGATTTAAATGTTTGTCCCATGTTTACATACATTTGTAAACTACAGTTAATAAACTAGAAAAATCCTGGAGAAACTTTGACGCGGGCTGCTGCCAGGCTGGTGCCAGGCTGGTGCCAGGCTGGTGCCAGGCTGCTGCCAGGCTGCCGCCAATTTAAAATTTTGATTTGACAGTATTATGTGTTGGGGTTTGCTCTCAACTACAACTATACACAATTTCAGATGAATATTTCTAAAAATGTCTGCGTTATCATATTTTTTTCCTTTTAGCTAAGGTGGCCATTTTGGATTTTGGATTTGGATTCAGTATGTGATAGGGGATGTTCTCAGCTATAACCACACCAAATTTCAGTTGAATAGCTCTAAAAATGGCTGATTTATTGTATTTTTTTCTTTTTAGCTCAAACGGACATCCTGGATTTTTTTATTTGCAGTCAGAGCCTATTAAGGATTGTTCTCTGCTACCAACACACCAAATTTCAGCTGAATAGCTCTAAAAACGTGTGAGTTGTATTTTTTTTCCTTTTAGCTTTTAGCTAAAGCAGCCGTCTTGGATTTTTGATTTGCATTAGGAATGTATAGCAACACGCTCTCAATACAACCATACTAAATTTCAGCTCAACATCTCAAAGAATGACTGAGTTATACTCAAATTTGTGCTAGCTGAGGTAGCTGTGGCAGCCATCTTGAATCAAAATGGCTTCAAACGTTAATCAGCTCTAGAGATACATCTGATGATTACTTTCTGCAAGTTTCAAACAACTCCAACAATCATCAGATATGTTGCCCACAGACATACAATCAACTTACATTTGTGGAGGTACATGTTGCGGTTCGGGCCGTATTTAAGTTGAGGGAAGAGTAAGATATTAATAACTAAAGTTAAGAAACCAGAAGTCAGGTGGATAATAATAGGCATCTGCCACTCAACAGTGCTGTAGAATCTGGTAATCCCTGATAATAATAAAAAAGTACAGCCACAAATGTACACTTTTATATGTAAAGATGTAATGTTAATAAAATAATTTTGGTTTTAAAAGTTCATTTGCACAAACTACATTAAAGCAGGCGTATATGTCAGTACATTAATAAATATTATAGAATTATCTGGATAACCATTTAAAAATGTTTCACCTCATTAAAAAACGATGCCATCAACTTGGCTAAAAATTAATTATTATGTTCCCAGTTTTTGTAATTTAGCTTTGACTTATGGAATAATACTAAAATTAGGACTTCTACGTGCATTTTATTTTTTGGTTTAAGAAATGGGCATGTTCCTGAACAAGTTTATTCTTCCTCCTGCTTGTATCAGCCAAGAAATGGATATAAATGTACTTAAAATGGTCAGATTTGTATTTGTAACTGATTTGAGATTTCTACGCCATCATAAATGGAGTGCATTCCCACTCAGCAGTGAACAGAGAAATCACTGAAGCAGATGATGAAGCAGCAAAGAGTCTTGAGCGAAGTCATTTACCTGCGTCTGCCATGGAGTTCAGGACCTCCAGAGCGTGGGACATGCCGTTGGCAAACAGAGTAGCGTCTTCTTTGCTGCCAAAGTTGAGCCCCCACACCTGCCTGGCATCTCGCCACTGGTGAAAGTTCGGTGTGGCCTGGTTGTACTTGAGACCTCTCACAATGGGACAGTTTATAACCACCTGAGGGGGAATCAGAGCAGACGGTCGATTATCAGGAGTTATCGTTAGCGAATCTGGAAGTTTTAACTGTGTAAAGTTGATGAAGCAGCTACTGCTGGAGTTCAAACGCTCTGTTTTAACCTGCATTTTAGGGAAGCCACTGAGACTGCACAAAGTTAGGAAAACGTGCAATTGTAATACTACTGTTGAACACTGTGAAGACGATATCAGCTCAATAAACACACATGTTCTCATACTCTTTGTGACGGTGATATTAGACACATTGATACTACAACTGTGATACAATGAGCCCAAGAAGAATCTGAAACACCACCAACCCATTCTGTGTCCAGTTGTTACTGTGTGAGGAAATGCAATTAATGAAATACTGTTGTTTTATCTGATCCACAACCAAATCCAGAGCTGCTGTTAAGGTTTAACATAAATAAAAAAAACAAACTAGAAAAATTGCATTTCCTGCGAAAATGCAGTGTGAATGCTTATTGCAGAACTTGCTGAAAAACAGCTGAAATTAGCTAAAAAGAAACAAATGGAAGAACAAGCCTAAATTAGCAGAAGAAAGCAGAAAGAACACATATTTACTGAACTATGTTTAAAGACACCGAAATTATAACACAAAGTGAAAATTATCTGAAAAGAGCTGAAACTTAGCAACAAAAAAAAAAACTGCTGAAAAGTAGCTAAAACGGCAAAAAGAAGCTTAAATAATCAATTGGAAGAGGAAAAAGCACATTTTTGCCAAATAAGGCTGGAAAAAAGTTTAAATGAGTGAAAATAATGTGAAAATAACTGAATAAGATAAAATTAGTATAAAACTGCTAAAAAGTGGCAGAAATAAAATGAAACAGAAATCAGCTGAAAGGAGTTTAACCAGCTGAAATGTGAAGAAAGAAGTTAATTATGCTGAAAGTAGCAGAAATTACCACGAAAACCTTGAATTTACCTGAAAACAACTGAAATTAGCTATAAAATGCTAATAAAGGTAGCTGAAAAGGTAGAACAAGATTAAATAGTAGCTGAAATATAGTAGAAAAAGCTGAAACTTGCTGAAATAAGCTGAAAGGATAATAAGCTGAAATTGGCAGAAAGAAGTTAAAAGAATCACAAAAATGGTGTAGTTAGCGGAACAAATCTGAAAGGAGCACAAAACAGCTGAAAAAACAGCTGAAAGTAGCTGAAAAAAAAGATTCAATTTGCAGAACGTAGCTGAAGCAGAACAGAATGTGAAAGGAGCAGTAAAAGTTTGTAAACAGATCTAAAGCTCTGAAGGAGGTAAAATGAGCTCAATTAATTTTCTCTGAGGAAAAAATGGCAGAAAATGCCAAATATTTCAAAAAGCTAAAGTTGCACCAATACCAAAAGTCATAGCACCCTTCTCCTCAACGATAGGGGTGCACAGGCCGGCTGATTTATCGGCCCCGATTTCCTTAATTTTAGGAAATCGACCAATACGTGCATGAGAACCCGATTTTACAAGGGGGGGGGGGGTTGCTTTAACAACAATTGTCTGAACTTCATTTATATTTCAGAGCACTACCTCATGGCCAGTTAAAACAAGTTTGTATTGTTTCTAGGATATTGTTCAAGGGTGTGTTTTTCAATTAAATAAGATTGGAAAATTGAAGGTGCATTGTGACCTTATAACTCCTGACAGTGTCGCTTATAAAACAAAATCGGTATCGGCCAAAATCGGTATCGGCAGGTCAGACTTTTTAGAAATCTGTGATCGGCCAGAAAACTGCAATCGGTGCACCCCTACTGAACGAGCTGAACGTTTGGATGACATGATTCAACCTTTTTTGTTGTTATATACCTGGATGACTGAGAAAACAAACTTTGTGTTTTTGAAACCATTAGTGAAAAGGCCAGACTTCAGGGGTATCTGAGGCAGGCTTGAAACACAAGAGTCAGGGTGGCTTCTGGGTAATACCAGATGGCTAGGCCTCAGACTGACGAAGCCTCTTGGACGAGGGGCGAAACGTTTCTTTTTTAACAAAAAAAACGAAGTCCAGATGACATGATTCAACCTTTTTTGTTGTTTGGATTTATGATTTGTTGAAATAGCTTAAAAACTGCAGGGCGAGAAATATGCTAAAAAAAAACGTACGGAAGAAACATGGATCACAATAGAGTGAATGCTTCATAAACACTCACACAATAAAATGCCTTACATTCCTTAAAGAAATTCATATCGCCCATCACATTTCATGCCAAAGTAATTTTTTTTGTCATAATAATCTAGGTCCTAGATCATCTTGTGATGAAAAGTGATAAAGATTTAGCCATCTTGGTCTAACTTTGTAAAGGATGTAATGCGCAGTCTCATGCAAACCTTGTAAGATGTGTTGGCTCTTGGAGTACATGTGGTGAATGACTCTCAGCTACTACCACTCCAAATTTAGCTCAGAATTTGTACAATTACCAGAGTTTCAGCCATTTGTGTGTTTGCAAAGCTAAATTAGCTGTGGTGACCATCTTGAATCGTGTTGACCTCAATCAGTTGAGGATGTACACCAAATTATTACTTTTTAAAGATTTCAGTCAAATCTATCCAGGGCTTTATGAGCAAATTTACAAAAAGATGGATGAACACTAGACAAACACGACGAGCAAAAACATTGTTGCCCTTTGGCCTCTGGCTGCAGGTGAGCATTAGGAGATGTTAGTATTTTAAACCAGGAGAGCGAATAAAAGCCCAGTGAAACCACATCCATGATTAAACCTAAAAGGATGCTGTGCTCTTTATTTTTTTATGAATTATTCTGGTTTAGACTCCACTCAGCAGGTGGTGTGGAGCACATTTGTCAGAAAAAAACCAGGCTGAATGCTCCGACACGCCTTTTCTGTACTGTGTTTTAAGACTTAGGATTCCACTGAGAGAGTGGAGGCGAGTATCATAGAAGGCAACATGCTGAGAAAAAAAAAAAAAAAAAAGGCCAGCAAGGTCAGCTACCATTGCAGACAGTGGAATTTTTCTAAACTATTTTTAATCTTATCAAAGTGACAAAAACATGTTGGTGACTATGAGCAGGAACACGTGAATTGAGACAAAAATGAAGGTTTAACTAAAAGAACTTGGCATAATTTACAGGGAAGAGCGTCTTGAGGGAGACATTGATACCACGGCTTCACCAGAGTAGCTCAAGACACTGTGAAGAACTAGAAAAGTTCCTGGAGAAACTCTGACGGAGACTGCCACATGGCAGCCATTTAAAAATGTTTGTTTTAACAGTACAGTAGTCCCTTGTTTATCGCGGGGCATCCGTACCCTGAAGACCCGCGAGAAGTGAAAAATGCAAAGTGGGAATAGTTGATAGTAGTACAAGTAGTAGTAGTTTAACTTACTTACAAAAACGCAAAGTGGGAATAGTAGTACAAGTAGTAGTAGTAGTTTAACTTACTTACTTAATTACTATATATATATATATATATATATATATATATATATATATATATATATATATATATATATTAGAGCGAGAGAGAGAGAGAGACATAGAAATAGATAGATAAAGGCATTTTAAACCCTTCCCACACTCAACCTTGCAATATTCTAAACTCTAGACTTTTCAGGTCTCTCTTGTAAATGAGTCCTCAAAGCTGAATGGGATTAACATATCTAAATAAAGGTTGAATGAAAAAAAAAAAACGCTCTAAAAAAGCACAGAATGTCATGATTCCAGCTCCCTGCCTCCTCTGCTTTTTGCCAGCTGAAAGCGCTCTTGGCCACACCCACATCTCAGCTCTGCACAAAGAACAGCTGCAGCAGGAAGTTTATCCTGCAGCAGTAAGGGCTGCACAAATGTACAGCGGGTACTAAATAATTTACAATAATTTATTTTAAATAAAAATTTCATGCCGATCGTACAGCTCATCCATATATCAGCCAATTGTGTGTCATGTCCAATTTTATTTTGAAAAACCGCTATAAAGCAAGTCTGCGATAAATGAAATGCTAAGTAGCGAGGGACTACTGTACTATGTGTTGGGGTTCGCTCTCAGCTACCATCATATCAAATTTCAGCTCAATATGGCAAAAAATCAATTAGTTATAGTAGTTTTTTTTCTTGTAAGCCACGGTGGCCATCTTAGATTTTTGATTTGGATTCAGCATGTGACGGGGAACGTTATCAGCTACGACCAAACCAAGTTTCAACTCAATATTGGTAAGAATTACTGAGCTATAGTCAATTTGTAATTTTCTGAGGTACAAACCAGATTCCAAAAAAGTTGGGACAAGTCCATTTTTACCACTGTGTGGCATCTCCCCTTCTTCTTACAACACTCAACAGACGTGTGGGGACAGAGGAGACCAGTTTCTCAAGTTTAAAAATAGGAATGCTCTCCCATTCATGTCTAATACAGGCCTCTAACTGTTCAATCGTCTTGGGCCTTCTTTGTCGCACCTTCCTCTTTATGATGCGCCAAATGTTCTCTATAGGTGAAAGATCTGGACTGCAGGCTGGCCATTTCAGTACCCGGATCCTTCTCCTACGTAGCCATGATGTTGTGATTGCTGCAGAATGTGGTCTGGCATTATCGTGTTGAAAAATGCAGGGTCTTCCCTGAAAGAGATGACGTCTAGATGGGAGCATATGTTGTTCTAGAACCTGAACATAGTTCTCTGCATTAATGGTGCCTTTCCAGACATGCAAGCTGCCCATGCCACAAGCGCTCATGCAACCCCATACCATCAGTGATGCAGGCTTCTGAACGGAGCGTTGATAACAACTTGGGCTATCCTTGTCCTCTCTGGTCCGGATGACATGGCGTCCCAGTGTTCCATAAAGAACTTCAAATCGTGACTCATCTGACCACAGAACAGTCTTCCATTTTGCCACACTCCATTTTAAATGACCCCTGGCCCAGTGCAAACGTCTGAGCTTGTGGAGCTTGCTTAGAAATGGCTTCCTCTTTGCACTGTAGAGTTTCAGCTGGCAACGGCGGATGGCACGGTGGATTGTGTTCACTGACAATGCTTTCTGGAAGTATTCCTGAGCCCATTCTGTTATTTCCTTGACAGTGGCATTCCTGTTTGAGGTGCAGTGACGTTTAAGGGCCCGGAGATCACGAGCATCCAGTAGAGTTTTACGGCCTTGACCCTTACGCACAGCGATTGTTCCAGATTCTCTGAATCTTTTGATGATGTTATGCACGGTTGATGATGATAACTTAAAAGTCTTTGCTATTTTACGCTGGGTAACACCATTCTGGTATTGCTGCACTATCTTTCTGCGCAACAATGGTGGAATTGGTGATCCTCTTACCATCTTGGCTTCTGAGAGACACTGACACTCTGAGAAGCTCTTTTTATACCCAATCATGTTGTCAGTTGACCTAATTAGTGTTAATTGGTCTTCCAGCTCTTCGTTATATGCTCAATTTCCTTTTTCCAGCCACTTATTGCTACTTGTCCCAACTTTTTTGGGATTTGTTGACACTGTGAAATTTTGAATCAACATATTTTTCCTTTAAAATGTTACATTTACTCAGATTAAACTTTTGATCTGTCATCTGTGTTATGTTACAAATAATATATTGACATTTGCCATCTTCCCATCATTGCATTCAGTTTTTATTCACAATTAGTTTAGTGTCCCAACTTTTTTGGAATCTGGTTTGTAGTTGTGACAGCCATCTTGAACCAAAATGTCTCCAAAAATTATTCAGTCTTTTGTTCAGAGACGTCTTCCCTCTAGGTCATGTGACCTCACTCATTAAAGGCACTTAAAAGTTCCATCAGGCATTTTGAATGAGAAAAATGGCTTATTAGTTTGCAAATTACATCGCTGTGGTAACACGAAACACCAATAAAAGTAACAGCACACATCACGGTACCAAGTCAGTTGTTTTGCTATAACATTTGTGTGTGTGTGTGTGGAGAGGGGGGGAGACATGTTGCGATTCACGCCACATTAAAGTTGATAGAAGAGCAAGACTATTTTCAGGTGGATAACAATAGATGGCTGCCAGTGCCTTTCTAGGCAGTCCCCAATAAAACTAACTGAAAACACACGGGACAAACTGAGAGATAATGAGAAAATCCAAGTAGAGAGAAAATACAGCCACATTTATTAGTCTGATACTTTGCCCCACGTAGCTTTATTTCACACTGTCTTCATCAGAGACAAATAAAGACCTTAAAGGGTATCAAACGTCTTCAAATTATCACAGGAAATGGTTGAGCAGGCTAACTATCTCACAGGAAACATCCTCCACTTTAGGACTTGTCTCTAGAGAGCACTTCAACATGCTGAATGTTTAAAGGAGGAGACACAGTGGCCGGGGGGTAAAAAAAAGCCTGTAGTCAAGAATAAACCCGCCAAAAGACAGTTCGTCCAGCTTTCAAACGTAGACTCAGACCACTTTTATCTAAAGGACAGTCATAATGTGGAGAAAACATCAGGACATCTTTGTTTGAAGGACAGCAGCATGTCCCAAAGGAAAAGTCCATTGAAAGGTTCCTTTTTTTAAAGATTGTAAGAATTGTTTTGTATTTTTTGGATAAACAACAAATGCTAGTTGTTAATGAACATTTGGATACACGTGGTAACTTACATACGTCTGCACTAATCTTTGCTTTGCTTGTTTAGATGCTTGGCCTGGGACAAGTTGTTGCTTTAGTTCTTATCAAAATCGTATAAGAGGTGAATCAAGGCCAAATATAAAAAAATAACTGTTTATACTGAAGTCGTACGTTTAACGAGTTCAGATTTTTCTCCAACTTCAACACTTTTAGATATGTTAAATACAGTTATTGAAGTGTATTACATCTAATTCTCTAAGTCACCACTGAACTTCATGTTTTTGACCGGCAGCACTCCAAGTTATGTCATACATACTTTTCAGATTTTAACTCACTAAATAATTGTGGCACAGCTTTGTGATCCCACTAATGATAAAAATTAAACGAGCATCAAGGTAACAATATTTCCCCCCCTAGTATGACTCCTATTTTTATTTTTTATAAACCAATTACACCCAAAACATAATAATGGCAACAAGTTGAGGCCTAATCTTGAATTTTGGAAACCTCTTCAACTTCCCACTCATGCTCCAACATTCCTCTTGGTGCGTCATGACTTCAGAGAAGGCTGAAACCCCAATTTTGGGAACCAGTGGTGTAAATCTCTTCTCTTTAAACCTCTTCGCCAGTAAATCAAGCTAAATGCCTTCAGAGATTAATTATTCTCCATCAGTAATCCTCTGTTGTCTTGTTATTTGAACTTGCTAAGTTTATTAATCAGAAATAGATCAGCAAATCAAGTGTACATGTTTGATGTAAAATTTTGATTCTGTTAAATAAATGACTGCATTTATTCTGATGGGTCAAAGATAAATGACGTCTCATGTCACCAATTATACACTCCACTCTCAAGTTATCTTGGTCACATGGCAGAAATTTAACTCAAAAAAGAAAGAATCCGTTGTTAATTAAACAGTTAATATTCTTTGTGCTTGAACTAGCCTTAAGAATAATTAATTAATAGGATGTCCACAGCAACAGCTGTCCTGACATACTACATATTGTATGATCAGTGATCCCCAATCCCTGGGCTGCACCAGTACCGGTCCGTGGGCCAATTGGTACCAGGCCACACAGAAAGAATACATAAATTACATTATTTCCGTTTTATTTTGTATCTAATTCCAAACTATGTTTTATTTTGAAAAATTACCTGATTCTCTCTGCCACATCTGTCTATGACTCACTCTTGATGCAGGTCAACATACACAAGTGGTTAGGCCTGTTACGTGCACATGCACAAATTGGTTCTACATTGCCTGCGCCAGTGGTGAACAAATTCAACTGCGTGGTCTGGAGCAGACAGGTGGAGGCGCGCGGCCGTACCTGCACATTTGAAGGATTACACTACATATTTTTAAACCCACCTGACAAAGAGTGATGGAAAACAGGTAGGAAGCCCAAATCTCGTTCATACTTAGCATTTCTGAGTTTTAACGTGGCGAGTGAGACCCGCTTGGTGTTTGCATCAACATCCCGACGCTCGCCTCGGTCACACGGCTTCCTTCTTAAAGGGGCTGCTCCCGCCGGCAACACATATATTTACTTTTGTGGTGCATCTAATGTTGAAGGTATGTTTAACCTTTACTATTACAAGCAGAGAGTGTGGGGCAGAGAGGCTGTGACTCATGTTACAATGTTGGTGCGATGTTAACAATAATAATAATAATAATAATAATAATTTTTATTTGCATATCACATTTATAAGTACTCAAATATGCTTACAAGAGTAAAAAAAAAAAAAAAAAAAGCAACAATGCAACACAACACATAAAAAGGGCAAATTTAAATATTAAAAGCAATTTTAAACAGGTGGGTTTTGGGTTCTTTCTTACAAGCAGGGGGATCGGAGCAGGCCTGAAGCAGTTGGGGCAGTGAGTTCCAGAGGGTGGGGGCGGCGATGGAGAAGACTCCGTTTCCCCAGGTTCGGAGCTTGGTCCTCAATGCCCTGAGATGACTTCTGTTGTGACTTGGCACCATTTAAATAAACTGAACTGAATTGATACAAACTTAAGTCTGAGTTGCATGTTGTACAATGCTAGCTCTCTCATTCAAACCATTTCAACCAAGGCTTAATTTGTCAAGTGATCAATGCTGGAATGGAAATTGCAAGCGGACCAGCGTGGAAAATTTTACATAAAGTAGATGTGATGTCCTGCATTTTGTTGTATTTTAACGGGTTGTTAAACATCTATGTTTACCTACATGTGAAACCCCAGGCACCTGCCTGCGGCTGCCTGTGGGCTCCTGCCTGCGTACGACTGCCTGGTTAGCTCGGCACTCACCCCCACCACTCTTTTAGGGGGAGAGACTTTTTTTAATGGTAGAAGTGGAAATGCTACTTGAAGAGGCAGCTCGTGGCTGTTGTGTTTAAAATGAGTGTTTATGTAATTTGTTTCAGTTTATATATCCAACATAAGTTGTACTCATTCAAGGCAGTCATATTTATTCATAACTTTATTATTAGTAAGCCTGAGAGTTACCGGATCCAAGTAAACAGTTAGCGGAATGCATCTTGTCAAACTAAGAGTTCTCAGATCCTGTTCCGACAGGATCCGGCTCAAATTAAGCCCTGGTTTTAACCCTGCAACAAGATGTGTTGAAAGCTCAAACGCCTGAGCATCAACTATGGCCTTGTATGACAAAGTTTTAAACAAAGAACGGTCATAGACTGTAAGACACATTTTATCTCAATATCTGTAAAATTCACTCAGCTTAAGCCACTTCTGGCTTGCTGGTTGATTAGATTTTGCAGCCATCTTGAAATGGGTTAGCTCCAAAAGATAATCAGCTGTAGGTGTATGTCCGAAAGTTGCTTTTTGAGAATTTCATTAAAATATGTCTGGATGATTATGAAATATGTTGCTGCCTTTATTCATTCAATAAAAGTTGAATGAATGAAATATTCTGCTGACAGCCAGCACATATTCACAGACACAAATGCAATTACAGCTAAAAAAATAAATAAATCAATCAAAAGTAATATTTTAGTACCCATTTCTTAGTTAAAATGTTTAAATAATGAACTATTAGTAATTAGCTGCTCCCAACAAAAAAATTAAAAACAAAATATGTATAGTTTATAACGTCAATAATGTCAACAATGCTAAGTTGTTTAAAATCTATGGTAAATTAACTGAATTATTTCCATATAATCCTCAGTGTGTACGATCAAGGAGTCATTTGAGTTCCTGCACACTAATGAATTGTCCCACACTTGATTAATCAGACAGCCTTTGGCACCACAGATGTCCATGGGCTACACAGTCAACACAGAAACCACAACACAAAGCTCTCAACTGAAACAACAGATTAGTACACAAATAAAACCCTAGACGACATTTGTTGGACGTGTGGTCTGCCCAGAGCGACCGTGTGTACCTGCTGGTCTGTCTGCATCTTGCGCCCCACTATCCTGAAGGCATTGTTGGAGGGGTTGTGAAAGATCTGGACTCTGCTGAAGGTTTGGGCTCCGGCACCTGCCGGGAGCCACTTTTTACTGCCGTCATCATAGATCATCACGGTAGCCCGAGCCTGGCAAATACTTGACTCACTGTAAGACAGAGGGGAAGAAAAACAAGACAGACAGGATGAATACACAGCACAGTCAGCCCGAGTCTACTCTCTAGGGGGTAAAATGTCGAGGTTTTAACTCTGGCAATCTTTAACGTAAGATTATTTTTATTTGCTCCACATGTCTACACACAACTTCTCCAGCCTGCAGCTATGAAAAGCAAACAAAAACAGTTCATGCAATCAGCAAAAATGATCAAAAGTGAGATACAACTGGTTCGACTTGGGGACTCGTTCTTTCGAGGTTTTTCCAACGACTGTCAACTTTAATATTACTCACGTGATTGGGACGGTATGAGATAAAAAGCTAACGAAAAATAATACTTCAGACAGGTGCCGCCATTTTGTAGTTTTCTTTCAATAAGCCAACAATGTAAGGCCAGACCAAAGAACTACACTACCCAAAAGCCAACAGTGCTTCTGGCCGTTGCTTTCTGCTGAAATGGAGGGAAAGTTTTACAATGTGAAGTCAGAAGTAGCAATATATCCATTAAGCTCACAGAACTGGAGCTCAATTATCCACGTGCACATCAACCTGGACGGGGAGGTGGATTTCGTGCTGCAGGGTAGGTCTGCAGAACTGGAACAGAGCCCAACCGGAACAGAGCTGCTGTTCTGCAGAGCTGGTGAGTGAAATTTTGCAGTACTGTACAGTACATATACTGGCACATGGTACTCCTCCTACATGTCTCTGTGTGAGTGCAGCTACAGCGTGCGCTCTCAGGACATTATTACCTGCAGTGTTCCCTCAGTGAGAACTGAACTAGGCAGAAGGGCCTTCTCCTACTGCGCTCCTGTTTCCTGGAATATCTTGCAAAAAGATCTGAAGCTCTCGACGTTGACCTCTCTAAATGGCTTCAAACATCTGCTAAGTTCATGGTGAAAACCAATGTAGACATGTTCCTGTTCTAGTTTTCTACACCACCTTATAATCTAGCTGTTTTTTCACTACTTTTTCTTTTGATTGTCCTTTTTTATTTTACCTTGTTAAAAAAAAAATTGTGTGCATCTTTTATGATTGTATATTGTTGTCGTTGTTGTCCACTCTCTGTCATCACTCATTGTTAAAAAAATCAGGTTTCTCTTGTAAATGAGTCCCCGAGGCTCGATGGGATTAACCTGTATAAATAAAGGTTGAATGAATACAGTTTATGTGACACTTGATTGTTGATATGTGCTCTGACTATCCATGTTGCTGATCTTATGCTGCTGATTTATTTCATGCTGCTGTGTTCATTCGTGCTCATCTTCTCGCACGGACTCATGTTCGTGCTGCTGTTCAGCGTATTGTTGTTGTACTACTAGTGCTTAGCGTATTCATAGTTTAGCATATTTCTTAGTTCATATCTTAGATCTTATTAATGTTCCTACTTCGTGGTTTTTCATCCATCACTGGGGTGTGTGGATCGTAACCCCCCCCCCCCCCCCATGATAATCAAGGGACTACAGTATCAGAGTCAGAGTCAGAGTTTCTTTATTGTCATTCGCACCTCATGTGGTACATGTGGTGGAGCGAAATTATGTACACGGGGTCCCAGTTACATCCAACAATAAAATGTATAAGAAAAACAGTAATAACATCTAAGATATGATCTAAGAAAAATATCAACTAAATATACACTAAGCACATAAAAACATTGAACATCAGCACAAACATGAACATGAGTCTGTGAGCAGATGTGCACGCATGAACACATCAACATTGAAACAGATCAGCAGCAACATGAAACAGATCAGCAGCAACATGATATGGTTTTTCACAGTGATTATTCTAGTTAGAAATTCATGAGTCTAACAGTCTCAGGGTAGAAGCTGTTCCTCAGTCTAGTGGTTCTACACTTAATGTATAACCATGAGGATGAACAGAATGAAATGTGTGATGCTGGCAAAATTCTGAAGCCACAGTTTAAGCACACCAACAAAAACATCTACAGGATTGTGACAAAGGATCTCATGGGGGAAGTTAAGCAAAAATAACTGAATGACTCAAGTAAAAAGTTTAGAGAACTTGGTTTTTTGATGACTTCATATGATGGATAATCTTAACTTTGAACAGAAAATTGCTTTCTTTTGCTTTTCCAGAAATACTGCAGAAATCGCACAATTTAATGAATAAATAGCAGCACGTCTGTCAATACATTTCTACTTTATGAACAACGCAAAAGGAAAGACATGCTGCTAAACAGGATTAGGTGAAGTCAGAGCTGGGGCCCGAGCGTGGGCCACAATATACTAAAACTAAAAGAACTTTTAAAACTCCTCTCAGCATACCATCATTATGGTCGTTACAAAACAAAAATAATAATCACAACTTGAAGACAGTAGTTCAATAAGAGTTTAAGCTATTTGTGTAGTCATTATGCCCTTATTTATTTACATTTTAAGCAATGTTTATGTTGGTAAATTTTACCAGTAGGCACATTTGGAAGTAGTTGCCTTTGTTATTTTTGGGATATACTGATCTAGTAGACAGGGAGAAGCAGAAAATAAATAAAAGTGTAAACAACAAAATTTGGGGACAAGTCATAAGAAGCTGAAAGTGTGAGATAGGCGTAAAGAACAGGAGGGGAAAAAACAACATAATAAATAAATAAATAAGAAACTGAACTTTTCCACGCACATTAAAGTCAGGCATCTGCACCTAGGGCTGTATACCGCACAGAGGTTATTTTATGGCACCGACCGAACTGCACCGGTCGGTGTATGGATTGAAACGTCACTCTTCTTTCGGTGTCAAGTTTCGTATTGGATGTAACGTGGTTTCAGTACGCAGGCAGGTAAAACACCAGACATATGACAAACAGACTACGCGTTTACATCCAAATTCACACTTCTGTCACTTTTTGTGTAACACGAGTAGCGACGGCAACAGAAAAGTATATATCAACAAACCTAATGTAGAACTGAATAAACACAGGATTGGATTAGAAACCTGTTGAGATCCAGCCCATCAAGACCTGCCGGGCTTCACTTCAACTCAAAATGTTACAGCAGTCTGTCCTCATGTTAAGATTTCAACAAACAAGACAACCACCAGCTATCTCACATGGTTCAACACGTTTGGGTTTTATCTGTCAGCACTTTACAAAAGCACTCCACTGACTGAATGGATGAAGTCTCCAGGATTTGAGAAAATTGTAAGGCGAACATTAATTGATGGTTACAAGTGCATTAAAAATCCTATAAAGTGCTGGTTTCTGCTGGAAGTGACGAAGACGAAGACAGGACGTTGTGCTGAGCAAAACAAATGAGCCAGTAGACTTTCTCCACCTGGATTACACCACCTTCCTCTTATGAAAACCACCAGCTGCAATGCGCTGTGAGATCAGCGACATTGTTCTGTAGCTTTGTGAAGACAGAAAACACACCGTTGGACATCGTCCAGGTATTCTCACTAGAGTTCTGAAAAACGGCTCCATCTAAAAAACCTCCACGCAAAACATTAGGTTTAGGGGGTTTATTAACTGGAAACGAATATTAATAATAAGGGAGGCAGAGAATCAGGTGTGACCAACTGTCCATTCTAATGTTTTTATCACTGTGCCCCTTCCTCCCCTAATTTGCCTCTCAAGCTCTCCCTGCAGCCCCCTAATCCATCCATTCCACTCCTCCCTCCATCTGCCCACCCATGATACAATCTGCTACTTCCTGTGACAAACCACCAAAGACACCGCCCACTTCCTGCAGCCTGCACAACCTAATAAGGACTGCACCAGTCTGAACAATCCATGCCTGCAGAAACACACAGACCACACAGTTTCCTACAAGCTGACAGCTTTTAAATTCAGTCTGTATTCACTTCAAAATGCTCCCTGACTTTCCTGCTCACTACACCACTAAGTTAATGAAAGGCTTTTTTTTTTTATTTACAGTTTTAATATGTATGTATTAGGAATTTGAAGGCAGGATCCAAACCAGAAAATGTTTGACTGTTTAGTCACATAAATGTTTCTGGGCAGAGAAGCTCTGTTGGGAATACTCCCAACAAGGCTGACAGGAAAATGTCAATGAAACCAGCGGCAGCGGTCCAGAAGTTCAAAATTTAAATTTGATGTTTCTGTTTAGTTTTAAGTGCAATATATAAGCAACAAACACTTTTCTGTGAGGTTTTGATAGGAAGTGTTTTTTCAGTGAACTATGAGTTTAGTACTTTTCCTGTGTCCTTAACACATAATGGTTAGAGCAGTCGTCATCCAATGGAAGAAATGGGGATTCGATTCCACCATAAGTCACATACTGAAGTGTCCCTGGGCAAGACACTGAACCCCACACTGCCTCTGATGTGTGTCCCATTGGTGTATGAATGTGATCTAAAGCTCTGATTATTTTTTGTACAGATCTAGTAGAGTGCTGTATGGGTCAACGAGGGCACAGATTGAGTTGTAAAGCACTTTGAGTATTGACTAGATAGAAAGGCGCTATATAAGACGTGCACAGTGTCATGTCTGGAAGAAAATAAGGGAGTAAGGAAGAAAAATATAAAAATATTTCCTTTTTATTATGGATTCAACGGAATAGAAACGGCCTTTATTGTCCCACGGATGGGAAATTCAAGCGCAACAGATAAAAAGATTCACACAAAAGTTTTGAACACAACACAAGAGATCAATAATTCATTTACTGACATTGTAAATGTGAGTTGGTCTACAGGGAGTAGATTCAACAGTGCTGACGTACGTTTCAGCTGATTTACAGTTCATTTAAATTCACATTACACATCACAACAAGCAGCAGTCCTTCCGGTCTCACACTCACTTTCTAGCTCAGCGTCAGGGCTTGCTGCTCTTTGAGAAGACTGCGGTCAAGTGTGTTTACATTTTTACTCAGCAAAACGGAGTGCGTCCAGATAGTCAAGAAGCTTTTTATAGAATTCAAATCATTTCCATGCCATTGTCCTCAAGTGACCTTGTGCACACTAGCCTATCTACAGGGTTTGAGAGGAGAACCAGAGGTCAGTCTCAGATTAATCGGTTTCTCTGC